ATAAGATAGGACAGATATGACAATAGTCTTTCGATCCACTATAAAATAATACTTTACTGCTCGGTGGTTTATTTTTGTACCACTACAAWATGCATAAACAAACTCAAAACTTACACAAAACATATTTCAATAGTGATACTTATAAACTTACGTGGCTGCATTTAAAACGAAATATAGGTACGAAGTATTTATATACAACTAMCATAAAGGATTTGTTTTTTTTGTATTATTTCTATAAAGTATAAAATATAGGCTATTTATAATAATATTAATTCACCGAGGTATTTGATTTCAATATCTAAAGGTCATGGGGGGGATACGACACCCAAATCCCCCCCCCCGTAATTACGCCACTGCTAAGGTAGTTAGGTTGAAGTATGTTATGCTTTTTATAAAAACATTACACCGTAATTATAAGTTTGGTGATTTAATAAAAATTTATGAATTCATAATTTTTTTATTGAAATATTTTCTCAAAAAATAAATATCACATTTGTAAGATGACTGAAACATATTGCGATACAAGAGACGTTATATTGTTATTTAGACATTAACATTATATTCTACATAATATTAAAATATTGTTCAACAGTGATGTAGCTAAATAGCCTATCCAGAACGCCGTGCAATCTTCGTTTTATTTCATTAAAATAAACAAAATCTTGTTTTCAATCTAAAGCTTGAAAAATGTCTAAGTAATCGATAACTGCCCAAGGATGTCAACAAATTATTTGCTTATTCTTCTGAACTACATAAAGACACACACGCACGCGACAAATTTGCTTTCAGAAGAACCAATCTTGCGTTGTTACTGTATTACACTAAATTGGCCCATTTAGTACATTGTATTACATGTTTAACGTTTTTTTTAAGATATTTTAATTTTTAATCAAATTGTGGGTAAGTACCTATTTAAAATATCATAATTTCAAAAACACATATATCGTAGAAAATTTWAATATTGAAATCCAATGTTTACAAACATAGATAAATAAATAAGTCTGATAATAGATCAATTCTCTACACTTATACAAGGGCTTGCMACACAAAATTGTTATGTTGTATATGGGTCAGAGGAGAAAACAATTAACCGTGTGTTGAAATCCACTTAACGTTAAAATACCGTAAATCCATTGGTAAAGTATTTATAATTATTTTCCTAATTAYTACAGAACGGGCTGTGGTCCAAAAGACCAATAATTTATACACTCAACACATATTGGATATTATATATGTATAAACACACGTTTTTCCAAACAAATTAATAGCGYATATCACRTTAATTAAATAGAAAGGGAAATCAATCGGTTAAGGCTTAAGGGAGTACTTAGTGATGAAATGGAGTATAAAGRTATGTTTAAATGATCGATGCTAGAAGGGTGGTTTTTAAAATTAACTTGGCTAAGTATATCAGAATAGTCGACTGACCCTTCAAGTACCAAACATGTGTAAGGTATTATTATTTTATATCCATATAATATAATGTCCCACGATAAATATGATTTATACGAACAGTCACTGCAGTGTTGTTTATATAATCATTAAACCAAGGAAATTATATAATTTAAAATATAATAACGATAAATATAAGTTACCGGTGCACAGGTTATAGCCAGCGTGGTAGGCAAAACCCACGCGCACACACGGTMAACAGAATATCTATAGTTGACCGACAAAATAATTTACATTTATCCATAGATATGGTATGCTTAAAATACGCGATCAATATAGTGACGTATTGTTTTAAACAAGATAATGACATTGTTTGTGATCTTCCACGCCGTGAGATCTGTGTTTTCGCTGTTTGAACGCAAATACGTGCTTATTTGTGATACGGAATTTTTTATAGGTATATAATGTAATAATTATTAAGTATGTAACAACTGACGTCTGACAGTATTAAATGCCATTAAATGACTGCATGTGTGGAAAACTGTACAATATACAATTCACTCAATCAGTTCAATTACCTGCGCACTCCCTCTACAACGTCGAACATATACGTAAGTAATTTAATTTACAGGATTTAATCAAAAAAATGTTYATACGTGATTAATAAATATATAAAAGTTATAATGACATTTAAGCAACAGCTGATCACTTTGAGATTTAAATTTTAAAAAGCTATGGCGTCTCACCATTTCCGACGTGTTTATGATGAGCTGCTCTGAATGTACATAAATATACAGTGTAATAATTATAATAAGAAAAATTTTTTAAACAAAAAAACTCAGTATTATRTTATAATATGGTAAATGGTCCAGAGCTAAAGCCTTTAATACATTTAGATTGGTAAAGTTTATAGCAGTTTATCGCTGGAAAAGTGTATATAATATAATAATATAAAGTTTACCAATTATATATCTGTCTATAAAACACTTGATTGCCGTGGACAATGAAAATCGTATTTTCAAATTTGATTTGATATCATTTGTTTTCACTTAATTT